GACGTGCAGTACAGATCGTCTTCCAAAATGCAAAAATTTCATTGACTTTTCGCTTTTGACGGCAAATCTTGCTGGGAAGTTATGAAAACTCCAATTCCTTTTGCTGCGGATATCAATAAGAAGACTTCGGTTCTCCACCAGTTATTTCTTTGACAATGAGTTTCTTTGTCACTGGATCCTTCTACGCCTACTTCTCCTCAGTTGCACTCTGAAGCACCAAATTAAATTGCTATCGAAATCGACTCACAGTTCTATCGCATCTTCTATTCTCTAATGATATTGTATAAGTCAATGATAGCTGACGCCCACAAAAATTTTACCGTTTCTACTAATTCCAGTAATTCTGAAACTACTTCACCCTACACATGGTGGTGTGAGCATTATTAAAAATCATGACAAACAAAGAAGATATGTTGGAAGTTTCATGGAAACCTGTAAATTAGACATCAAAATACAAATGAAAAGGTTGAGCCTATCGAGCCACTGTCTAGGAAAGTAAGATGTCTTTTAAAAATTTGTATGATGCCACTTTTACTAAAGAGCAATTGTAGCACCTACACATGTTCTTTCAATCTCCAAAATTATCACCGACTCCATTTTGCTCTTCAGTACAGAAGAGTAATTTTCTAACCATTGCATTGTTAGGTGTAATTCCTAATTTTACTCTTCTAGAATAATTCATTATGGCGCAGCCGATCATATGACTAGTTTTTCAGAATTATTCTAATCTTATAAATATTGTGCAGGCAACAAAATGTAAATATTCTAGTGATAATTTTGGAAACAGAGGACGACAGAGTTGTACATGCTTTGTCCCTTCCGCTCTCCCAATTTCGCCAAAACCATCGGTTACATGACCTCTTGCCTTTGTGATCGTGAACGATGACTCTGTCCCTTTCGCTCTCCCGATTTTGCCCAAAACCATCAGCTATGTGATCAAACCTCGTGATACTAACACGACTCGAGCTAACTAGAAAGCCAGTGACGTACAGAAGTTCCCATTCAATCTCGAACACTTCTTCCGACATGCAGTATGGATCGTCCGCCACACATGCAAAAATTTCACTGACTTCTCTCTTTTGACGCAAATCTTGCTGGGAAATTACGAAATCTCCTATTCTTTTTGTTGCAGCTATCAATAAGAAGACTTCGATTCTACTCCACCAATTATTAGTTTGATGAGTTTCTCTATCACTGGATCCTTCTACGCCGACTTCTCCTCACTCTTAAGCACCAAATTAAATTAAAACGATGCCTCAGTTGCACTCTTAAGCACTGAATTAAATTAAAAAGGTGTCTTTAATATTATTCTAAAAACTAAAAAGATGCCTGAGGAGTGGAGTAACAGTATTTTGGCCCCCATTTTTAAGAAAAAATGGGATGCACAAGAGTGTGCAAATTATATAGGAATTAAGTTGATGTGTCATACTTTAAAATTATGGGTGAGGGTAATTGAACATATGTTAAGACGTATTACAATAATTTCTCATAATCAATTTGGATGTATGTCAGGTAGGTCTACTATGGAAGCTATACATTTATTAAGAGATTTGATGGAAAAGTTCAAAGAGAACAAGGAGGATTTACATATGATTTTATTGATTTAGAAAAAGCTTATGATATTATTTATAGCCCTTAAAGTTATTATTGATACTAAGATTTGTAATATTATATGTGCTTATGCTCCTCAAGTAGGTTTAGATGTAGGTTTTAAAGATAAATTTTGGAATGACTTAGAAGATTTAATACAAATGATACCTTTTGAAGAAAGAAATTTTATTGGAGGAGATTTAAATGAACATGCCGGTAGAGTGGTAGAAGAATTGAGAAATATTCATGGTGGCTATGGATTTGGAGTGATTAATGAAGAACGTCATGAAGAATGTAGAGTCATATTAGATTTTATTTTAGCATATGATTTTCTTATTACTAATACTTTATTCAAAAAAAGATATGAGCATCTTATTACTTATAAGAATGAATCTAATAAAACACAAATTGACAACTTTCTTCTGAGAAGAATAAATTGTTGTGATTGTAAATATTTTAAGGTCATTTCAAGTGAATATTTAAGTACTCAACATCAATTATTAGTTCTAGACATTAAAATGAATAGTCGTAAAATAAAAAATATTATGATTCATCATCGTAGAATTAGATGGGGGTACCTAAAAGACAAATAAAATTATTTTAATGAGTAAACTTCAAGAATTCAAAATTTTGGATGTTCATGAAGAAGCAGGTGTTATGTGGGATAAAGTAACAAACATTATTAAACAAGTGGCAAAAGATGTACTTGGAGAATTAAAAGAAAAAGTTTGTATAAATAAAAATAATTTGTGGTGGAAAAATAATGAGCAATAAAAGAAAAAAATAAGAAATTATGTAATAAAAATTGGTTTAAAAGTAAATACTTGGAAAACTGGTAAAAATATCAAACGGCCCGCAGGAGTCTAAAAGAACAATATGTGATGCTAAAAATTCTACTTTTAGTGATCTTTATAATAAAATAAATACTAAGAAGGGTGAAAAATATATGTATAAACTAAGAAAGATTTAAATATCTCGGGTCTATAGTAGAATTCAAGTTTGTTGGTTGAAGTGGAGGAATGCTTCGGGCCTTTTGTGTGATAGAGAAGTACCAGTACCGGAAGTACCGCTTAGAATGAAAGAAAAATTTTATAAGATGGTGGTGAGACCTGCAATACTCTATGGCGCTAAATTGTGGTTTTAAAGAGAAGCATAATACTAAGTGTTGTCGAGATGAGAATGATTAGGTGGATGAGTGGCTTTAAACTTAGAGATAAAATATAAAACGAATATATCTGTGATAAGGTTGGTGTAGCTCCAGTGACGGGAAAAATTAGAGAGAGCTGTCTTAGATGGTTTGTCACTTTAAACGTCGATCATCTGATGATATGATCTGATTAGGAGAATAGATAATTTAAATTCGACTTCTGTTAAGAAAGGCAAAGGTAGGCCTAGGAAGACTTGGGTTTATTGTATAAGAAAATGATCTTAATTTACTAGAATTAAATGAAAATATGACACTAAATAGGGTGCAATAGAGAAAAAAAATTCATGTAGCCGACCTCACTTAGTGGGATTAAGGTTTTATTGTTGTTGTAGGAAAAGCTTACGATAAGGTTCTAAGAGATATCATTTGGAGTGTTCTTGAGAAGAAAGGTTTTGATATGACTTATATTCAAGTCATTTAAGATATTTATACCAGAACTGTTACTTTTGTTCAAACTGAAAAAGGATTGACCAAATATTTTTCTATTTCTATTGGATTACATCAGGGATCGGCTTTAAGCCCATATCCTTTTGCTTTAGTTATGGATATCTTATAGGACATTTATAGAAGGATGTACCTTGGAGCATTTTTTTCGCTGATGATATCCTTCTTGTGGATAAGATGAGAGAAAAAGCTCCAAAAAAATTGAAATATGGATGTCCGCATTGGAGTCTAAAGGCCTTCGTTTGAGTAGAAATAAAATTGAATACATGGAATGTAATTTTAGTTGTACTCTAGTGACAGAAGTGTAACTTTGGGTGATGAAATTATTAAAATGTGTGAACGATTTAGATCTCGGGGCTATTGTTCAAAGTGATGGTGATATAGATGGGGATGTTATGAGTAGAATTCAAGTTGGTTGCTTGAAGTGGAGGAATGCTTCGGGCCATATTGTGTGATAGAAAAATACCGCTTAGGTTGAAAGGAAAACTTTATAAGATGGTGGTGAGACCTGCAATGCTCTATGGCTGATTGTCCTTAAAAAGAGAAGCATAAAACTAAGTTAAGTGTTGCCGAGATGAGAATGATTAGGTGGATGAGCAGCTTTACGCTTAGAGTCAAAATGCGAAATGAATATATCTGTGATAGGGTTTGTGTAGCACCAGCGACGGACAGAATTAGAGAGAGTCGTCTTAGATGGTTTGGCCACATTAAACTTCGACCATCTGATGATCTGATTAGGAGAGTAGATGTTTTAGATTCGACTTATGTTAAGAAAGGCAGAGGTAAACCAAGGAAGACTTGGGCATATTGTATAAAAAAGATCTTAATTTATTAGAATTAAATGAAAATATGACACTAGATAGGACGCAATGGAAAACAGGATTCATGTAGCCGACCCACTTAGTGGGATAAAGGTTTTGTTATTGTATGATTAGATGGATTGACATCTTGCTTTAGTCTTAATGCTAGTTAAACTTAGTACTCATTTTTTATTTGTTTAACACCATTATGCGTGTCTGTTTAAGAGTACTCTCAGTGTCCTTAGGCTTAATTTAATAGATTTAATTGGATATTTATTGAATCAAATTTCACTACCTTCGGAAAGAATAAAAAGCCTCTCTCCTGAGATCAGTTTCTCACACTAGTCTCCATACATCGCCGGTCCCTACAAAATGTTCATTCTTTACCCATTTCCAGTTTGTTCTCTATCTGACGTCGCTTTCTCTCCTCCCTTACTCCCTTCATAATCCATGACACAAGCCCAACAATAACAGGCTCAAATAAAAATCTGAAAATATGCACTGCAAATTAAGGCAATAATCCAGATTTCATCCCCTCATTTGATGTTGTAAACCATCCCGAACAACGTTAGAGCCTCCACAATGTTTCGCCAGTCATTCCAATAATTGCAAAGGTGACAATGTTATTCCACACCTAGTCTCAGACATGACATAGTCCCGTACATAAATGCTGTTACTGATTTGTGCAGATACCAAAAATATGAAACACTTTGCCTTTGCTGCTGCTGTTGCTATAACGCCTCCTCTTCCAGCAAAAGCATGGTTTATGCAGTGCGCTGCTGGGAAATATTGTTCAATAGCCAAACTAATCACTATTGATGACTAAAATATTACATATTGTCAAGGACTATAGCATATATGCGTAAAATATAGCACTTTATTCTCAGAAACTGAATAAAACATAAAAAGTGGGAGCAATGCTATTATATATATATAATCATGAAAGAAAGGCATCTTACCTGGATTTCAGATAATAAACAACCGTGCAGGGCCATAACCATAAATGCACAATGCCTTAATGCTCCACTAACTTTAACATAGTTTTTCCAAGGATATCTGAACATCATGTAACGACCATGGGGCGGCTCCCATACTGCAAAGCCAAGCTGATGATAACAAAAATGAGTCAAAACTGAAATATATTGTTCTGAGAGACCTGTAGATGTGTCGCTTTTGTTATTTGCTTTTTTATTTTCTATTTTATTTTATTTTGTTTATGTTTTGATTTGAAACAAAACGTGTTTATTACGTTCGATTATGATATGGTTGTTTTTGAAACACTCAAAATATCTCAGAGTTGTTTTGAGTGTTTTCAAAAACATGTTTATTTGTTTATATATATATATCGATATAAAGATATATATATATATATAACACATAAAACGGCAATATTTTTAAAAACAAAGAAAAGAAACAAAAAGCAAAATTGGTCCCAAATAAGACATAAAATTCAATAAAACTTACAAGAGTTTCCTCCTGAGCGGTTGCCTCAACTGCTGTTCTATAGCCATTATACAAAGGGTCATCAGAAGCTTGATAAGTAAGAATCTTCGAGGAGACTCTATCGTATTCAACACAATTGAGATATCCATTAACGCAGCCTAAAAGACAAACCCTCCCAACATTAAGCATAATTAAATGGTCTTTTAGCCATTACTGATTTCATGCATAGATTTAAAACAGCAAAAGTGCTATATATGTAAATATAGAAATTTAGGTGCATGATATGTAAATACATAAGAATTGTGTGCTACATATGTAAATTTCCCATATAAAAAACAAAACCTTCTAGGGACTTTGCCACGCCGATGAAATTCTTTGCCACTAAGTTGTGGAGATCCTCTCCGGCCCAAATTGGAAATATACAGATATTTATTCCAAAACCAACAACAGCACCAAGTACAATCAGCAAAAATCGGCTCACAGCCGTGCCCGTAAAATCTCCAAATCTTAGTCCGTACACCAGAACATAACAATATGTGAGCACGAATATACGGAATCCATATTCATAAGGCTTCATAGAAGGATAGAGCTTTGCAAATGTTGCCAAGAAACCTAAAATTGAAAAAATATTATCAATAAAATATGTCATATGTACACACACACACACACGAAGCAAACTTTCAAGCTTCATGAATCAGAAAAGAAAACAAAGGGGATAAAGTTATTCAAAAAAGGCTGCACCTATGATAAAAATGCTCATAATAAGCAACGGTTCTTCCCACTTTCCAGTCATAGCAGACAGCTCAGCTATACCTAAAGACAGCCCTCCAGCTGATAAAGTTCCTATACCACGATTTAAACCTTTGCTTAATGTTGAACCTGCAAAAACGATCACTAAAATATCAAATAAATTTTGATTTTATCAGCACAATTTTCAAGAAAACAAAGGGTTGGTTTCTTCTGATCCAAAATATCAGATTAAGTACATCTCTGTAACCATCAACCAGAAACAGAACAAAACCGTCCATCACACAACCATCGCCAGGAAGCAAATCATTGAAATAGAAATTCATCTATTACCCTAACCAAGCCCTTTCTCCAGTACAGAAGAATTAGTGCAGATACTTGTAAGAGATTTACATATATACTTTTTTTCACTACTTTTATTTTTCTCCTATATTTCAATTCAAAATGATGCGAATATCTGCCAAAATTTTAATAGGATTTAAATACCAAAAGAATTTCAGATCAGTAAAAAAATTTTTTGGTTAATCTGAATTACAGTCCTTAGAATTTATAGGTTTATGCGCTTTTCGAGGGGCTTTTAGGTTTTCCTTTTGATTGCTTAAATGTATTTTTTGTTTTTCACTTTACTTATAGCTTTAGGAGTCCCTTTATTTGATTGTAATCTTCAATTTATTCAATAAAATCACACTGTACGCGGCCTCACCATCCCCACCAAAAAAAAAAAAAAAACGGATTTAAAGCCTCTTAACTCTTACAGAATCTGGATCTACAAGATTAACTAAATCCTACTTGCACCCAAACAGCCACTTAATCACTCGTTTCCGTTCAACGTACAGTTACTACATCAATTTCGTCTCATCTGACCTAACCGACTAATCAAATAGCAAGTTGATCATCAAATTAAAAGCAGAAAAAGATTTACCGATGGTGAACTCCATGACGACTACGACAGTAATGATAGCCCAAACGCCATGGGTGGAGAGATCTCCAAAACTCTTGATGTAGATGAGAAGCGAGATGATATAAGCGATGAGAGCAAGGGCAAGCCCTATCTTCGCGGCAAAGACCACCTTCCTTATATCCGAATGCGCCATCTCCAAGCCAACCTTCGTCGCCATGCTAACCTGATCACAGAACCAAGCAATCCCATCCCGCACTTTCCAGAGACATCCACGGCTCTTGCCATCATCATCTAAGTCGAGATCGCCCCAGTCCACCGCCTTTAGATTGGAGAGCAGAGGCAAGCGCTCCTTGCTCTTCTGCTCGAAGTGGTAGCGGAAAGATCCTAATCTCGGCGGCGGCGGCGCCACCATATTCTTCTGTTTTGTTGGTTTTATCCTCTTCTGCTGATCTCCGTATGAGCGCGACTGGAAAGAGGTTGTTGGGTGCGGGATAAAGTTGCAGAAGATTGAGATTTCTATCGCTAGCTTGGTGGCGCCACCTCACCGGCAACCGCCGCACCAGTTCAATAATGCGCCGGTCTTTTGAAGCTCATATGAGTCCCGTGGGAGTGGACGCCAAAGAGACAATCGGTTCAGAATTATGTGGCTTAAATTTAATGTAAAACATTGATATGAGATATTTAATAATAAAATATGTCTTTTATGTATTCACATTTATAATATCTATTATAAAGTTTTTACATTTATACGACCCTTCTAAATATCACATAATAAATATCACTAGTTTAACTTCAAAAAATTGTCATAGCCTCACACTCCTAAAATGAAAGGTGGTACACTCTCATAATACATGATATGATAAAAATGATTAAATATGTTTTATATTCTCAATGGAAAATAATTTGAATAGCAAAAAATTTTAAAAAAAATTATTTTACTTCAAAAATAAGAATACAAATGGTACAAGTGAAGAAAATAAGATAATTGAAAGAAATTAAAATGAAAATAGAAAAATAATTATTTAGACACAAAAATCAAGATGTAATGACTAAAATGAAACAGAAAATACTAAACATAAATCTAAAGCTGAAATGTCTGCTTTAATAGAGACGACCTGGTAAGTGACTAGGTGAAACATATTTTATAAAAGTATTAACGATAAATTTGACTAATAAACTCAGTAAATAACAACTATTTATTATAACACAAACAACATGGAAAAATGGGTCATACAGTATGACCAATAAATAGAAATGATTTACTATATGTCTTATAGAATTGACAAAGATTATTGCATACTTACTATCACGAATATAAGTGACTTGAACACATGCAATTTTATGTAGAGATTTACATGCTTCAATATGAAGTGTTTTTGCACGAATATGACACACAAATCATTTAACATTGCCTAATAATATATAATTTAAATACATACACACACACACACATATACACAGGCATACGTAGATATAATTATATTTATATAATCAATTTACTATGACACACATGCATATGTAGATATAATTATATTTGTATAATAAATTTATTATGACACTTTGAAACAAAGAAAGTTAGACTTCAATCCCATACAAATTCACTGGTTTCTCTAAAGTACTCATCGTTCTAACTAGTCATAACAAAAAGGTTTAATACCGACATAATAATATTATAATATTATGTTATATTTCAGGCATCACAATCAAACACATGAATATAATTATAAAATTTCTACAAGTATTTATAAGGAATTATAAAATTTAAATAATGAGATTTATCTAATAAAAAAATTAAAAGAAATAAAAAATATTGAAATCATAAAATTTGAACTGTTAAACAAAGTACCAAGTGGCAATAAAACAAGGTAAATTGCACATTATAGTTATAATGAACAAAAATAGAAATTGTTGCAATTATTTGAATAAAATTTAAAGCGCATGAATGACAAACTTACAATTAGCTAGAAATCTAATATAATTAGCAATGATAACGCCCTTAACTAGGAAGAGTGCTTTTATCTCTTAATAAATAACAGTTACTTACCTCCAAGTGGTGGACGTGATGCCTTTACGAATTTGACGGTTCAACTATCGATCTTATATCAATTAGAAAATAATATCAATTATGCAGATAAATTATATCATTACCTATGTATAATCTAATTGAAACTCATTATTATTATTACTATTACTATTACTATTGCTTATTTATTTATTATTATTATATTTTTAAAATAAATAAATTATGAGGTTGACCTAACTAATATAAATAAAAATAATATTTGGTTTTTGTTTAATTTTGATAAGAACCAGAAAAATAAATTTATGATAGGTTTTATTATGGGAAATTATATGTGTAAAACAAGAAAAACATACTTTAATCCTACAATTTCTTAAATCATGTTTTTCCTTCACTTTGACTTAAACTCAAGGTTATGAAATCTGGTTAGATCAGGGATTTACGGGATTTAGAGAGGTTGATGCGAGCAAAGGAGGAAGACGAGGGTTACGTTCTTAGATGGTTTCGGGTAGGAGCCTACGAAAATAGGAGGAGAAAGGTAGGAGCTTCTATGGTCTCAGTATGTCATGATCCCGTCGTTGCCTTCTCAGCTAGCTCTAACTATGGTTGTATTGCAAGGTTTTCAGCACGGAAGTAGAAAGGAGGGAAATCCAAGTGATAGTTTTGGGCGAAATCAAGATAGAGCGGGAGGAGGGAGATCAGTAGAAGCCTAAGCCTTGCTTTTATGGAGCGTCGATGCTTGACAAATCGAGAATGTGGTGGGAGAGGATGCGAAGAAGAAAAGGAAAGAAGCAATTCGAGAAGGCAATGATCAAGAAGGTAAAGAATTAAATTTTGTGAGAGGAAAAGATAAGAAAAAAATTTTGGTTCTTACATACTACCCTCTTTAAAGGAAATTTGTCCCCAAATTCATGCCGAAGATTACTTCAACTTAACTGGTGGGAAAATAATGAGTGTAATCGATATATGTGTTTTATTAATAATAACTCACAATTATGAAATCACTGGGTGACATACCAGGATAAGTTATATGACACGATTAATGTGATATGTGGATATATTGAATAAACCAACATACTAAATACAATTTAATATAACATGAATGGATGTGATGCCCCAAAGTTAAATAATTCCCTTATCAATACATGCCACCACATCAAAAGCTTCATTGTTTTTTTTTTTTTTTTATCTTGCCGAGTCATTAGAAATGCTCGAGGTTAGAGTGTACATTATTTGGTTTAAGCCGAAAAATCGAACCAAACCAAATAAAAAAAAATTTGGTTTCAGTTTTTAAAAATATTAAAATTTAATTTTCTATTTACAATTTGGTTTTACTTTTTATTTTACTGAATGAACCGAAAACCGAATAACCAATATCTTTTTAGGTGTTAAGTATGTAAATACATAACGATTGGTTGGTATGCATGTAAATATTTTAGAAATATTTAGAAGTAAATTTTCCATTGATTAACATTACATAATCCTAGCTTATTAATTTTAATTTCCTCTCGTTATCATCATATCATTATACATTTAAACTGTACTTTGATTTATGTAAAACAAAAATGTTTAAACCAAATTAAGCTTTAGTTTGACTGGTTCAATTTTATCAAAATTTTATTTGGTTCTATACTTTGGATTTTGGATTTTGGATTTTTGTACTTGACATCTGAGTTCAGAATTGAAGAAGTTGGAGTGTTGTTAGTTTGACCATCATCTAGTGAAAAATAAGGTCATCTTTCAATTAGAGTTAATGCACCAGTCGAAACCTTCTAGATGCGACTCTTATTTCGAAAACAAAGGTTCACAACACTATTAAAAACATCTTCCCGGCTATATTAAACGATGGCAAGGCTCTTTTATTTGATAGACGAGGCAAGAACATGCATGAGAGGTGGGAGCTTCATCCGCTTATAGGGTCCTCTGAATGGGCGGGTCAGACCCACTGACACGCCTAAAAATGTGCTACTTTATATATACATATTATGCTCATTTTTTATGATATTGCACTTTAGTAGAAAACATTTTGCATGTTTTTTTTGTTTCAGGTACAAGCGATGGAGTTGTGGAGAACAAGAGAGAAAACAGAGCAAAACGGGGTCAAATGGAGCAAATGAGCATAAAGTGAACTAGTGTCTAGGCCCCTACTTCTGGCGCCTACGCTTTAAACCCTATATGTGGAAACAGAGAGCCTAGCGTCAGACCTGGCGCTTAGGCACCAGACAGTTATTCCAGACTTCTAGAAGTCTGGCGCCTAGGAGGCTACCTGGTTCTCCTCAAGAACCTCCACCCTTTTCCTCCTCCCCTGTTTCTTCGAGAAATCGCAGGGTTACGTGTCAAAGATTTAAGGCTTTGCCTTGAATGGCTCTCAATATATTAGTATTATCAATCTGATCTCCGTTACAAGAGCTTTAAGGGAAACCCTCTGGCTCGAAATGGCCGCAGTTGGCGGTAAGAACGGTGACTTCTATTCCATGTTGGGTTTCAAAAAGGAGTGCTTCGACGCCGAACTCCGGAATGCATACAAGAAGCTTGCTCTGTGATGGCATCCTGACCGGTGATCGGCAACTAGAAAATTGGTGTCTGTCAAGGAAGCAAAAGAAAAGTTCCAGGCAATCCAAGAAGCTTATTCCATTCTATCCAATTCCAATAAGAGATTCCTATACGACGTGGGAGTTTATGACAACGACGATGGCGAAAACGAAATGGGTGACTTTGTAGACGAGATGGTTCAAACTTCTATGTTACAAAAGATTGTATAATATTTGCATGTGCTTATCCAAGGTTTGAATTTAGAGATAAAAGGCCAATATTGTGAGATATTTTGAAAAAGTTACCGCCTTCGATCATATGATATGAAATATCTAAAAGGGTTGGCCGTGCATGTAGAATATCGAAATGGCTTAATTTTTGGAAATTGGAGGTGCCGCATTGGGTTTTAGAAAAGATTCACATGTGATACTTGTGAGAAAATTCTGAAACTTCGAGGAGTTTACTTTTTGAATTGTGATTTTAGAAAGACTTAAATGTGTATTTTTGCAATATTTGGGGATTCAAACGGGCTTTCTCAAACTCGTATCGAGGAATGTTTTAAACACGGTTTTGAAGTTGTTTTGGTGGCTTGGTCGGGCTATAATTTTAAGACCATTTTGTGGCATGTTTGGCTATAATTTCTTTTAAGATGCTTATGGCTTTGAAGAGACACAGTTTTGGAAATGATATCTTTTTGGTTGATCCTTTTTCAAAATTGGAGGAAATGATACCCTTATTGGGTTGATTCAGGGATCTTTAGGCCGCATTTTTGGGACTTTTTGTCAATCATTTTAGATGCAATTTTGAGGCCCGATTCACCTTTTAACCTTTTCGACCTATCGGGTGGATCAATCCCTCCTCTCTCTCACCCCTATTTTTATTCTTTTCTTCCTTGCTTCTTGGTTGGATTTATACACTTATGTACGAAGCATAAATGCGCACATGTAGCATTTTGCTACATGTGAACCATCAAGCAAGGTTATAATTTAGATGGTTCATTTTGGGGTAGGGCGGTAATGACAAAGGCACACCGGTGGTAGAGTGAAATGATATTCCATCCTACGACATCAGGACCCAATCCTGGGACTTGATCAACAGTAG